CCCTACAAAGCTTTTGACTTCTGTATTTTCAAAAGAAAAATAAAGAAAAGAAAAAAAGAACTGCTCATCTCTTCCCCTAACCTGTCTCATCACATGACTCCTATGTCGATTTAGCATATATTACGTACCATTTTGTATTATGGCTAGTGTATCATAAATCTGTTCCATATCAGAGTATCTAAGATGTTCATCCCAGGCCAGCATGCCAATACTTAGCACAGTACTTCACATATAGGAGATAACAAATGTTAATAAACAGAACATCCATTTTAGACACTATTCCCATTTGAACTTCCCGAGCCATATTACTAAAACTAAAATTCCTAATCATTCTTAATTTTATTGGGGCATTTTTAAATTACGCTACCTTATGTTTTCTGTAGAGGTTGTTGTAGAGGACTCTGAAATTTTTTCTAGTGTAGCTGCTGCGATATGCTCTACCAATGAGGTATTCTATTACCAGTCCAATGTCAATCAGTGTTATTCTGTAGCCTGAGAGAAGGGTATGCTGCAACAGAAACGTGCAATGAATTATAACTTTCAGTTTTCTTTTTCTATCTCTTTTGTCATGTCATTATCACTAAATTAATTGCAAGAAGGTAGATTTATACTTTTTAATCATGTTTACAAACTGATCAATTAATACGACCAGCTATTGATACAATTTGCTTGCTCAGAAGGAAAAAGATCTTAGCCTTATGTTTCATTAGTTTCATAGACAATAAACGTATGCTTACATCTGTATTCCCTCTCTCTCTCTCTGTTCTTTCTCGTTCCCTAGCTGTCTCCCATGCTCTCATGCAACGAAACATACACACAAACACTTGAATAAAATATTTAAATATAGTATAAAAATAATTTCTATCTAGATGTAATATAACTACCACAACAGAAGTAAAATCACACATACTGAACTTATGTGATCCAAAATTAACACTGGGCTGACTTTTCAGCCTTTCTTTCCTGAAGTGGCTATGATACTTTGCTCTGTGTTGACTACATCATATGTAAAACAAGAATATAAAAAGAAGTAGAACAAATAAAAATAAGAAACTCAGAAATGGCAGAGCCAAACGAGATGTCAGAACATGAAGCTGTGCCAAGACCAATGTTATGGTTTGTAGGACGGCTGAGTGGCAGATTTTCAACTACATGGTTCTTAGTCTAAATGAATATTATTTTGACCCCTTAAACCTCACCTTACCACCTCTTTATAAATGTTCACTTCTGGGGCTGGCTGGTTAGCTCAGTTGGTTAGAGAGTGGTGCTGATAACACCAAGGTCCTGGGTTCAATCCCTGTACCAGCCAGCTGCCAAAAAATTTAAAAATTTTTTA